AAGCAAAAGCAACTTCTATCCCGTTAGGGGAGGGAGGAGACTAGGATAGCTCACATTTTGATAGGATTTCAAGATGTCAGGGGTCGGCGAGTGCAGAATGTAGATAGTGAAATGCTCACATCACATCAATCCGGCCGAGAGAATGGTTGGGTCGAGACCACCGAAGCATATCAGACGTAAGCGCGCAACGTCAGGTTCGGACCGATGAAACGCAAAGCGATTCAAAGTGATTTTTCGGGACCTTTCGTATCACGTGAATCCTTGTTCGTAACAGTCTGACATGGTGTCGGCCTTCTAAGACATCGTGCCACGATCCTAACCTGTGCACATTTCTTAGTTGTTCGAATGTTCACGCATATTGGTGAGACTGCTGACATCTTTCTAATGTGCTACAAACAATCTTTGTGATACACATACTGACTTATACATTCCTATTTGCGTCTTGCTCACTTGCAGTGTCCTTGACAGAATCTATCTCGACCAAGGGGATGAAAGAATTTCTATCGGAGTTCTTTGAGCCTTCTAGCTTCCTTTTGGATACCCCATTAGACGCACTCGCGTCACTGACCCCAGACTTGCCCGTTGATTTACCCCGGGTTGTCATACCGAAGACCTTCGGGAAGCATCTCTTGCACAGAGACTGAATGGCAGGCATGCAGGCGCACATGACACCAACATCCAACTCGATGGTAGACCACACTCCGAACCCCGCCAGGTCCCAGGTGGGATTCTTTGAATTCGCGAAGTTTATGAGATATTCCAATCTGATGACGCTGACGATTGTCACACTGCAATGAGTCAGCGGTGGCTCCGTGCAGCTGAAGGGTGTGTAGAATCTTACAATCCACCAACGCAAAACATCAATACCAGCTGAACCTTTTGCTTCCAGTTCATGACTAGCTGAGAAATCTGCCGAAGAGGTAGAAGGATGGTCGCCAAGTCCAGGACGATGTTGATGATGGCGGCCGCCCAACCTTGTGCGTTAACGTTCCTACACACTCCACGAGTCTCCTTGTGCCAGTTGTGCCACGCATAGTCAATGGGTGTGCATTGGAATACCGATACGATGATGAAGGAGAAAAGGAACAAGCCATTTATCGTCATGAGGATGTATACCATTTTTCGGAACGACTTTTTCGGGAAGATCCGCAGAAAGAAAAACAGAATGGAGACTTTAGTGAGCGTCACTATCGTCAAATAAATTAATTCATCTGCAAAGTAGACCTGAGCATTGAGTTAGTCAAATCGCTTTTCAGACTTGGCAATAGATCAAAGCTACCAAGAGAATAAATGTGATGTTGTCGAATGGTATTGTCCAGATGTCTTTTCCCAAGCCTGCATTTGCGACTGATTGTTGCCGTCAATTAGTGACAGATACCATAGATACTTCCGAGAGGATGCGCTTACGAGGTACAGAAAGTCCAGAAAATACTGCTAAGAGCAACTACAATGGTAAGCAAGAAAGATGAGCAACTGCCGTTGAGAGTCCTACCATGGCTACGTAAATGGTATAATCGTCGAAGCCAAGTTGAGTCCCAGGCAAAGTCAACTTGGAAATGGTTCGCAGAATGCAAAATATGAGCGCTATGCTACCACCGACAACACCAGCGCCTGAGACTGAAAGGTGCTGGTCTCTGATCGGGGCACCGCAAGTTGTCGAAGATACATTCTTAGTCGCTGTGAGTGGTGAGCTTCGAGTTTGACCGATGCAGCTTCGAGAAGCGCATACTCAGTTGCTCTTTTACCGTGCATTTTTTGTGTACGCATTCATTGACAACCTTGGCCAGCTCTTTATTGGTGCAAATGCAAGTCTGATTCGTGGGTGCGCAACCTGATTGCATGATCCCAGCGATAGTACAATCCAGCTAAAAACATCATCAGAGACAGCAAGAAGGAGTTGTGTGAGACCTGCTTACCCCACATTTCGGCATCAGACTAGCCGCAGACGAGAGGTCTGCTCGAGTTGTAGTAAAGAAAATGCTGGCTAGTAACAGGATGCTCCAAAGTAATCTCATCGTACTGACTCCCTAGACGGACGGATGTGTAGAAGAAAATGTTCCAAAACTGTCGGTACTTTATTAGGGAAGCAAACATGCGGCATTGAGCACATACATATTAAGTCGTGAGAAACTCCTTTCGCATTCGAAAGGACCACAAATGAGCGGGAGAGGTTGATCATCGGCTCCAAGCTCAACAAGTGAGAGGGGTAGGATCTGATCATGCAGGTGTAGAGAAAGGGACGGGGACTCGGGAGTTGCACGATTTGTCGACATGACTCTGATGCTCCCCACAGAGCCCACAGTTCTCATCGGCAAGTGCCATAGGTATCCGGGTTACTGGAACGGAAATCCGTCGTAACATCATTGATCGACGATCCATTGGAAATACTGCCCTATACACAGTCCACAGAACAACGAATAATCAGTCATCAAAAATACCAAAAGTATGTATAACAACATAGTAATAACGTGCAAAGACTACGAAAGAAGCCTCAATATCGTATGATGTTGAAGCCCGTTTTCTGCCAAAGAATGATCGACAGGGGAATTTGCGGGGGTTGATCAAATTATCCAGACGCGGGAAGTGAGCATCCTTGCAAGTTGGTGCTGACAACCGGATTACCGCGCGCAGACTGAAATCGACACGATAAGATACAGTGAGCCGTCGGATTACATATTTATCACCAAAACCCAAGCCCCTTTCAGGAAGCCCTTTCAGGGCTTCCTGGAAAACTTGATTGTGGAAGCAATATCAACCTGAGGATAGCAGACAGTATAAAAAGGGGCTGATTTGTGACTAGCTTGGTAGCTGAAACCTCACCAAGGCGCTGAGCCTCTGGAATTGGATTAAGCCAACCTCTGCATAAGCCGCCTCTTCCATTCCTCATCCAGGGTCAAATTTCTCCAAGCTATTGATTCGCCCCTGCAATTTTGAGTTTTCGCGCCTGAGCAAGTGCTTATCTTCGTAAAGGGGACCGAGGGAATCTGCCACTTGCCATCTACAGTATGTGTTTGATTGAAATAATCTGTGTAGACATCAGTGCTGTGCTGTTCAGTCGTAAGTAGCATCTCTATAAGAAAGTGGTCCATGTTAGCTCAATAATAACCGTTTGTTATAGTAAGGAAACGTCCGCATAGTCTCGCCCCTTACGCTCAGGACATGTAAAAGTCGCCGATAACCAACTGAAATCGGCCCTATTCATAGCGTAACAGTTACTCAGATGTTTGTAAGCTTCTTGGATCTGCCGCAATCCGCGGGGATTGCTTAAGTAGACCTAAGGCTATACTAGCCAGCAGTCTTTCTATGATCGGCACAATAGCTATAAAGATGAGGTCCAAGATTGCTCGGAGTCTTTCAGTGCTAGATACTTCACCCTAGCTTGAGCGTCACTGGTCTATGGATGCACAATGCCATGGTGATACGAGTTCGAAAAGCAAGCACCATCAGACCCTGACAAGCACGGGCATGCAGATAAAATGTGTGTGCTTACTGTGTGGTCAAGCTGACGCTTGGCAATCGAGATCTTGCCGCGTGACTATGATCTTACTGAGGAAGTGATTTGCTTTGCCGCTAAGATTACTATAGTCACAACTGTGTGTGCCAAGCAGTACATACAAGGATTGTCGCCTCAGCGGTTGTTAGATTTGAAAGCTCTAAGAAGATCAAGATTACATAAGTCGAATATGCAAAGTCTTTTGTAGATCTCTTCCAACTCAGTGCTCTCAGGCGCTGCTTGTGAGACAGACGGCATGTCAACAGGACGCACAATCATGCCGGTGATGCCCAGGGAACAGATGCTGGGTAAAGATAGCAATTATCCCTCCGTGCTTTGCGGCTCACAGTACAGTCTATTGAGGTATTGTTCCTGGAGGTAAAGTATATCGTGAATGGCCACGCAGTCGCTCCCGTCAGTAATCTAATAACTGCAGGTAGTAATACTCGTCATCTTCTCACGATACGGGAACCAGGGATGCTTTCTGATCGTGATTTCGGCAGATGAGATAAAACTGCCCAAACGTATCTCTGGTGTTCTCAGGGATACGAGTTGAGGATGGAATGTCCTATCAAAGAAGCTTGGACACCTAGCAAGACAGACTTGCAAGTCCGTCGCCACTCAGGTCCAACTCAAAGAGCGGTAAGCGCCAGGTTCTACTGTCGGTCGGTCTTGCGGAAAATGATCGTCATGAACACGCAAATTCGAGGCTGTGGAGAAAATTGGGCGCGGAACAGCCTTCAATTTCTTCTGTCACAGTTTCAGTGATATCAGAAAACACGGCGATTGTATAACGAGCACCCTCTCCATAGGACATGGTCTTGTATCCTAAAGCATACATTATCTGTACTCGTAACGAGAGAGATTGATGTGCAAATTGTAGCAATAGCATGTACTATGACCATGAGCTTGCCCTGTATGGGGCTCCTGGTCAAGTCTCCATTACCTACAATAAGTCTATCCAAAAGGAGCAAATCTAAAGCTATCGGCGGAATTGAATTGCATGCTGAATTTTGTGGGGCAGTTGTTAACGGATGAATCCATTTCTGTTCGTTTTCAGGCATAAGATCCTTCGTAAGTATCGGAAAAGGGGTTTCCTCCAAAGATGGCCCATGCTGCGAAGTCCACAAAATCTCGCAGTGACGTCTGAGAGTCTTCGAGGATACACCCATTTTTACTTGTCGCAGCCGATAGGATTGTGATGTCGTAAATAACAGCTTAGCCAGCTAGGGGCAAGAGCGTCAACGACGGAAACCTTGTACTTGATGGCGACTCCGTTAACATCATCTTTCAGCTTGAAATAGATGGCTTGCTGGAGTACTTGCATAGTGAAAGTACTTCACACATTGTAATGGTTCTGTTGAATTGATTGATTGGGATTTAAAGAAGCAGATGATGGGACACTAAGAGAGACTTCAAGTGCGCCATGTGCCCATTGCTGCAACTTGAAGTGCTTTTCGTACGCATGATGAACCCGGAGATTTTGAAGGCAGTCTATCTGTCAGGAGTTTGGCCTTTCGGTGTGTTAGCCATTCCTTTCGGGTTTGGGTTATTCGAGGAATGCCTCTGCTCTCTCTGTGCAGATGTCACAGCGGGCCTTCGTTGTCAGCTCAAAACTCTCGAATGTGACGTAAAGGGCAGATATCTTACTCTAATTTGCATTCAAATTTTGGGTCACTGTCGTGAATAGTGTGGGAGGTACTGCATGTATAACATTATACGTTTTGAGCGAGGACTTTGCGATGCCATTGCATGATGAGGAGAAGTATATAGTACGTTAAGCAGTAGTATTGACAAGCGCGTGGTATCGTATCGCACAGCATCTCGCAAGTGGCCGATACCAAGCTAGCAGCCATCTCCAGGCTCGAGGGAGCAGGGTTCCATCTAGTCCTATGTATACGTTACCTACCACATCCAGGCGCAATGACAGTGCAGAAATGCGAACGCCGAGTAAGTATTAAAACGCTCATCGATATGGTGTTGTACCAGTAGAGATGATTGGCTGCTGTTCATTCTTCATCCGACTTTTCCCTGGGAACCTCATGGTGAGTATACTGCATGCAGTCCTTACTTGGGTGGCTCTTGAAATGACAAATCTTGATATCTCGAATACTGATGTGCCTAGTACTGTGTTAGGCTGACGTTTGATCGAGAACTGATTGTTTCCGCGGGGGGTGTAATAAATCAATCCCAATAAGCAGAATCCCAAATGTGTGACAAATATCAGATGGTGTACAAGTTCCAGGGCTGCAAGCATGTGGATCACGTGACCGCATCGATCAATCCCTTGCGTAGGAACATTAGTACGAGACGGAAAGACAAAGAGGAGGTTCTGGCGATATGTGCTAAGAATTGGTAACCTCCCTGTCACTTTTCAAGGAAAGAAGAGTAAGGCAACAATGATGGTCGATGATGCTGACCCCATCAAAGGCCGGCCGCAAACGAAGGAGGTTGAGGAGTGGGAGGTCATGACGCAATGCGTCGGCTGTCCGGTGGCGGGATTTCTCCGCAAGATCCCCATCAGCCAAAGACTATGACAGCTGGTAGCCCACTGTATACTCATAACCATCAGACGACACCACCTTGGACTTCCACATGCGATATCCCTCGATTCCGACCATCTTACGCGCCTTCCATACAGTCACTAACACGACAGTCTCGTTTGCTCGCTTGCGCAACACCAACAACCTCGGCCATACACTCCACAGCCTTCCCCAGCGCGCAATCATCTATCGCTCCATGCCCAGCATCCCTTTTCTCGGCTCCTTGTTCGGATCGTCCAGCAACATGGCAGATGCTAAGAACTACGAGGTTTCCAAGACAGACGGAGAATGGCAGGCTGTACTGAGTCCTGGTAGATACATGACCATCCCATTCGACAAACACAACGAGTCTGACATGACATTACCAGAGCAATTCAGAATACTCCGCCAGAAAGGTACCGAAGCCCCAGGCACTGGAAAATACGACAAACATTATCCCGACAAGGGTGTCTACAAATGCAGTGGATGCGAGGCGCCACTGTACAAGGCCAGCACCAAGTTTGACTCGCACTGCGGTTGGCCTGCGTTCTGGGACGCCATTCCGGGTGCAGTAGGCCAGAAGCCTGACCCAGGACTTGGTATGATGAGGACCGAGATTGTATGTAATCAGTGCGGGGGACATTTAGGCCATATCTTCAAAGGAGAGAAGTTCAACAACCCCAAGGATGAGAGGCATTGCGTGAATAGCATCAGTCTCAGATTTGACGAGCAAAACGAAGGCTAGTAACTTTGTGAGGACATTGCGACTTGTAGGGCATATTTGAACGGCGAGCAATCTGTAAGAATTAAATTGTACAACGTGTTGCCCACCAAGACTCACCAATCCTTTGCTGCTTGCTGCCATGGGGCGAGTTTCGTGTTGGGTTGTCGGCTGGCCACCATACTCTGGACAGGTAATGGCTTGCCCCACGGCACCTTTTTCCAAGCCAATCAGCTTGCAGTGTGCAGCGGAAATGTCCTGCACGCTATTTGATCTCTTAGCTATTATCCGGGAGAGAATGAACGGAAAACAGCTAGGGACGCAAAACTAGATACTCAACACCCAATTCCCTCCTGGACACATCAGCGATGAGCGTCGATATTTGGATATGAACAAAACTTCCATCACAAATAGCAGGCGGGCATCGTCTCCAAAACCTTCAAATGACTGGCCTTCAAACGACTCGCAAACTCTACTCACGCCGTACACATCTGAGGAAGCACATGTCCAAGACTTCCGTAACGCGAATGATCAGTGTTGCCCTGAGGAAACTGTCGATAAGCGCATAGATGAGTCCAATGAGCACAACGAGAACTTTGGCATTTCACGCAACCGACGTAAATATGGCCATCTTGAAGTTGATACTGTGCCCCCGCAACTCGGTACCAGGGAGCAAACCATCGGTACTGCTGCTGCATCAGCAAAGTCTGCACCAATTTCATGGCACGAGCTACCTCGCAAAGACCAGCTCTTTGTCATTACGCTGGCGCGACTATCCGAACCTTTGACCCAAACTTCACTCGGCTCGTACCTTTTCTACCAACTGCAGTCTTTTGACCCCTCGCTTCCCGACTCTACAATTGCCTATCAAGCAGGTATCATTCAAGCAGCCTTTCCGGCAGCACAGTTCCTAACAGCCATCCTTTGGGGTCATGTAGCAGATCATGAACATGGCGGTAGGAAGCGAGTCATCTATCTCGGCCTGCTAGGGACCATGCTTAGTGTCATTGGATTTGGCTTTTCGCACAACTTCACTACAGCGGTAGCATTCAGATGCATAGGTGGCGTCCTCAACGGAAACATAGGTGTCATGAGAACAATGATTAGCGAGATCATCAAAGAGAAGAAGTATCAGAGCCGCGCCTTCTTGATCTTACCGATTACTTTCAATATCGGTGTCATCATTGGCCCCATTCTTGGTAGGTCATAATCTAAGCAAATGATTTTTCAACCCGCTGATCAAAAAGGTGGTTTACTTGCAAACCCGACTGCAAGCTACCCTTGGCTTTTCGGTCCCGGGTCCTTTCTAGGTGGTCAAGATGGCGTGCTATGGATGCGACGTTGGCCATACGCTTTGCCAAATCTCATGAGCGCAGTATTTCTCCTCTGGTCTGGGCTTAGTGTCATACTATTTCTAGAAGAGACCAGCGAGCTTCGCAAAGACAAAGTCGACTCAGGCCTACGTATTGGCCGCTGGATAGCGCAACACACATTTTGCAGAATATTCGCATCTAACGCTGGCTATTCTGCAATTCCATTCGACGAGGAGACCACTAGTACGAGTTTCGAGCTACAACCAAGCCCAACGACACTTCACCCATCCGCCGATGCACAATTCGAACATGCTGGGAAGCCTCAACGGCAGAAGCTTCCCTTTAGACGAATTTGGACCCGCAATTTGATTATAACGCTCTGCGCACATGGAGTCCTTGCTATGCATCTCGGGGGTTTCAATAGCCTCTGGTTTATCTACCTATCGACTCCAAGGTTCAATCCTTTAGAACCGTCTCCACCTGGCTTCAAGCCGCACGATTTCATACATTTCACTGGTGGTCTGGCACTACCGCCTCCTCACATTGGAATTGCTTTGGCTGTTCTAGGAGTCATTGGAATCATCCTCCAGCTGTTTCTCTATCCTCAACTCTCACATCGTCTGGGTACAGCCAAGAGTTATCGCATCTTCCTCGCCTTGTTCCCCATCGCATATGCATTAGCACCATTTCTCAGTTGTGTACCGAGTTGGACAAAACCACCAGATGGTGTGAGTGGTCCTTGGATCTGGATAGCTATAACTACTGTTCTCTACATACAGGTCCTGGCTCGTACGTTCGCTCTCCCATGTACAACCATCTTGATCAACAATACCAGTCCACATCCTTCGGTGCTCGGAACTGTGCATGGTATTGGTCAATCGGTTTCTAGCTTGACGAGAACCTTTGGGCCCATCATGTTCGCGTGGGCTTTTGGCAAAGGCCTTGATCTCGGCATTGTTGGACTGGCTTGGTGGTCGATGTCTGCTGTTGCGGTCATCGGCTGCGTCGTTGCTCAGGGTGTGAAAGAAGGAGATGGGCATGAATTATTACTAAAGAACGAAGTAAGAGGAGCTGACGGAACGATTCGACGAGCAAACCGATAGCTATTCAACACTCTACTTGCTACAAACACCCAAAGCGGCAATTGATCAGCACTACGCCATGACCCTACAATGTCCCAGCCTAGAGGATCTCATGATCTTATTGTTGACCATTGGCGGTCAATCACTCTTGATCTAATCTCCGAAGCCTAGAGGCCACTCCATCAATCGAATGGCTGACCCGGACCGCGTGCGCCCACGCCCAGTGTTCACACACTGCGGGGAAACGCTCAAGACTTGGCGGCGTGCCAAGTATGTAGCGGCTATTCCTAATTGCCCTCAAACATCACCAAATGAGGAAGTTAGATAACCAACCATCAAGGATCGTGCTTTTTTCAAGGTCCGGAGCAATTTTCATGTCTGGGACCCAGGACAATATTCAGTATCTTCAGGCTCGGTCTTTCGGAGCCCACGAGCAGATGTGCCGTCCCATGTACCGTGTGGAGGGATGTCTGATTCTTTTTGTAGGTATATAGATCAGATGTCGCGGGATATATGAAGATTGTTTTGAAGTAGGGTCATAAGAGTACTTCTCATAACGCCGTGGGCAGTTGCTTTTTGTCTTGCTTCCAGCTGTTTGCACCGAACGCATGTGACATTAGCAAGCTCTATATTGTACAGTCAGATCGAATTCAGATTCACTCCTACATCTTCGATTCTCCAAGCCATTCACAGTTTTCCGATATGCGCCACGCATTTGCGTTGATTAGGGCCGGCGTGCTTTTCTCGCAAGTTTGCTCTGCCAAATGGCTTCTTCCTCAGGCCCGCAATTTCATCTACATTGTTCCAGACGGCTTCGGGGTAGCATCTCAGTCATTAGCACGGGATTATGCATCGCTGCTGCGAAATGGAGAAGACCCCATGGCACCAGTATCCATACAATTGCCAGCTGATCGCCTTGTTATAGGAAGTGTCAGGACCATGTCAAGCGACAACTTGATCACTGACTCTGCAGCAAGTGCGACCGCATTTGCTTGTGGCGAAAAGACTTACAACGACGGTAGATGCTTCATATTGCAAAAGGTCCCAAATACCCATTACTAATGCTTCTTTAGCTGTTGGCGTCGACGATGATGGTCAGCCGTTGGGAACCATCTTAGAGGCAGCGAAAGGCGAAGGCTTCAAGACGGGCTTGGTTGTAACTTCTGTGATCAATCATGCAACTCCAGCATGCTATTCAGCACACGTAGCTGATCGAGACTCTTATGAAAAAATTGCCGAACAGCAGATTGGATACTCACATCCCCTTGGTCCACAAGTCGATATTCTCATGGGAGGTGGCCGCTGCTACTTTAAGCCACAGTCTGATCCTACATCTTGTCGGGAAGATGATATTGATCTCTTTGGCTACGCAGAAAGTATGGGTTATCACGTCATGCAAGACCGCGCGTCATTTGATCAATTTGCAAAGATAAACATGACTGTAAATGCAACTAATTTGCCATACATTGGGCTGTTTGCTGACGGTAATTTTCACTTGAGCACAATATTGATTTCTTTACTGACTTGACATCAGATGGATTGATGTACCATATCGATCAAATGCAACAACCCAGCCTTGAACCGTCACTTCTCGAGATGGTGCAAGTGGCTCTCAGCTCCCTTGATCGTGCGACGAAAGCCACACCTCAGGGTTACTTCATCATGATCGAGGCCAGCCGTATTGATCACGCAGGCCATGCTAGCGATACTGTTGCCCATCTTCATGATGTCTTGATGTACAACGAAGTCCTAGACTATGTGCGTGAATGGATTGATGCTCATCCGGATACTATGATGCTTTCCGCCGCTGATCACGAATGCGGCGGCCTGACACTCAATGGATTCAACCCGCTACCACTCCGCAAGGCGAACATGTCGGCCGAGTATGCCGAGTCCCTCTGGGAAACCTACAATGGCACAGACCGCCGTGGATACCTCTCCACCACGATCCTCCCTGGATACGGCTTGGCGGATCTTTCCGAATCGGACATGACGTCCATATTGGAAAGCGAAGACATCGCTTCAGAATTGACCGAGCGCATGAGCGAAAAGGCAGGAGTCAACTGGTCTACAGGCGGTCATACCGCGAGTGATGTCACGTTGTACGGATACGCGAGTGCGGACATGGGATGGAGGTTGAGATCCGATATGGCTGGCAATTGGGATAACACAGAGCTTCCAAGATACCTCGAAGGAGTCCTGGGTGTCAGTATGGCCACTGTGACGGAAAAGCTCAGAGCAGCAAATGGGACGTGGGTTGGCAAGCGAGATCTGAGCTCAATGAAAAAGAGGCATATACATGGCCATTGAGAACAGGTCCAACATGTTAATCCGGGTGCAACATCTTGTAGTTCAGTACAGTTAGTGCAGTGCGCGAGCTACGTAACCCCAATCTATTTGAAATCGCGCGGCAAACATGAATCGAATGTCTGTGATAAACCGTAGTCTCGACTTTGAGGTCGAATTTGCAAAGGCCGCTTGTGTCTTTGTGGCGCTAGCGACACAAGTTGCGACAATTCTGGGAATCAATTAGAAAGCAAATATATTCCACGTTGTCGAATCAGTATTGCCAAGATTCTGAGCATCTTGGAATGATTAAGGAATAGACATAAGTGTCGAATAATAACACAAAGCTCAGTACCTTGAACGGGTAGTCCAGGTCGATGCATGCAAGCTATCTGGCCAATGGCCCTGAGTGTATTTAGGCTCTGCTCTTGATTATATCGGCGGCTTTCTCCGCGATGGCATACATTGTCGCCTGTAGGTGGGTAGCCGGGATCATGGGAATGATGCTTGCGTCAATCACACTGAGGTGTCGAACGCCGTAGACCAATAATTGATCACTAACACACCCACCATACTTTTCAGGCATCATACTACATCCTCCACTCGGATGAGCAAATGAGGGCTGGAGCGAGCCTGAAGCCACACCGCCCTGGATTATTTCTTCATCTGTCTGGTACTGAGGACCAGGAGATGTCTCGACTGGCTTAAACTTTGCCAGACCCTTGCTTGCCCAATGCGCGCGGTTGTATCTAGTCAAAGCAACCATAATTTCCGCATCAACTGGGTTCTGGAAGGTGTTCCACTGCACAATGGGATATGCGGCGGGATGCGTGTTATTGAGAGTGATTGTACCGCGTGAGAGGGGCTTGTTGTGTGCGATGCCGGAAAACCCCCATGGCTGAATGACGATTTCACCTACTGCAGCTTTAACACCCGCAAAATGGTTAGCCATGATACTGCGTTGCTTTTTAAAGCCTTCTAAGAGTTTCGAATTTTCTGCGTATCTTTCTGGTAGGAATTCCGTTGCGACTTGGGATTTGATCTTGGACACAGTCTGCTTGAAGCCAGCGTGAAAATGTTGCAGCGCCATGAAGACGAGACCGTTAGATTTGCCCACCGAGTACGGGCCAGTTTTGTATTTGATATACTCTTCGTAAGACGTTTGGTTGAATGTAGTGTTGGTGTTCAAAGCTGCCATGTTCTCTGGTGATAGGCCTTGCAAATCGAAATTCATGTAGTTAGCGATATGGTCTTGAAAGTTGGACCCTACCGCTGGTAGATCCTGCGAAAGGTTAGTCCAGGACAGCAAGCTCAAACATATAGCACTGACCTTCTTCACTGCCACACCAGCAGCCTGGAGAACGCTCTTTGGGCCGATACCGGAGTACATAAGAAGATGCGGTGTGAAGACTCCACCTGCTGCCAGGATGACTTCCTTTCGAGCGAATACCTGAACTGTTTTACCCCCCCTGTTTGGAGTAAGCTTTACACCAACAGCCGTCAAAGCTCCAGCACGGTTTCTGTCAAATACGATCTCATCCACGTGGGTGTTTGCCATCAATTTGAGATTTTGACGAGACGTAATAGGATCATAATAAGCCGAACGAGATGTGCTACGCGTTGCCGATGCCTTGTTGATTGAATTTGGTGACCAGTATACGCCTACAGGCTGGGCAAAACCCTCTCTCGGATGAGGGATGTCGGCATCATCCCAGGAATGGTAAATTTCTTTCATGTCTGGAAATTGGTAATCTGGAATCGAGACCTTCAAGGGACCGTTGCCGTAGGCCTTCGAATCATATGAGATGCCAAACTCTTCCGTAGTATTCTTGGAAGGAGGATCGAAGGAATTGCTTTTCTCGAAGTATGGCCGCAAGCCCTTCCAATCCCAGCCCTTGTTACCAAGCTTTGCCCACGCGTCGTAGTCTGCGTCGGCTCCACGATCCCATTGCATCCCATTGACGTATGAACCACCACCAACTACATTGCTGACTGTTACCAAGAAAGTCTGGTTGCCGAGGAGTGGAACAGGGGCGCTTTGTATGTCGTACATGGCGGCCGTGTTCAGTGCTCCTGAGTTACCTGGGATGCTGGATAGAGTGCCATTGTTCAGATCGCCGTTTTCGATAACGAGCACACTTTCTGTAGTCGAATTACGGGTCTGATCAGAATCGCATTTTACGCGTCCGCAATTGGGTGAAGTAACATACTTTTGGAATCTTCGCTGAGCCTGTTCGCAACAACTAGACCTGTGGTACCACCACCAACAATGATGTAATCATAAGTAGATTTTTGTAACCTTCCTTCCGTTGGCAGGTTTGCCCTTGCTGTGGTGACAAACAAAAAAGCAACGATGATTGTATGCATGATGGCCAGATGCCGACACGTGCGATGCGTGTTTTGAGTGTGGAACGAATGAAGGATCAAGTTGGGAGCCAAAAATTTGATCAAAGGTGGATCATTGTCTATATCCCCGTCCAGGTCTACACTAGATTACATTCGGAGATGACGAAATGAGGTTTTGTGGACACGTGATTTCAGTCTAGGTCGAGTAGATCCAACTCTACAGCGTTCGGATCATAGGTTTAGTGGCGGAGAAGCTCCTTTACGGGGTTGTCAGCTCCGCAGACAGACTGCAATGGACCCTCGCTCCAATTTCTACAATTGATTCTCAACCTTAAGACGTATGTAGGGCAAGGAGCCGAGCATGTGGCAGCGGTTAAGATTGAAATGCAGGGATGTGAGCCCGACGACCCCAGGACGGACAACGGTAAGTACACTGTCCGCCAGTATAATCCTTCGACGGCAAATTTGAAGTGCCGTGAAATATAGCATCTTCCGTGTCGTTGGAAGTCCCCTGACATTGTGCCTGGCAGCTGGCATGACCTAAGGAGCCACTGCCATGGGACGGGACACCACGGTTATCTACGCGTTATCCGCGCATCCTTAGACTGTCCTTGGCATGCACTAAGCTACAGCCCTGGAGGTGCTGCCATGTCGGTTGCCGCTTAGGCAAATCAGATAACTAGAACAACCGAAAGCTCTACTTCACATTTGTCGAATTTTGACGACAAGTTAACCTAATGTGAATGCTCCTTGTACAGGAAGAAAGGCGGAGATGAATACATACAGGCTCAAATGACGAGGGAAAATCCATATATACAGTTGATGTGTTCGAGAAACGCCAACCTATCTTCAAGCTGCTTCTCAGTGTATACGACCATCGGGCATGGCAGCAATGCGATTCATCCCTAGTAATCGCTTCAATTTGTTGCACAGGAGAACATGAGCTGATTTAATCAGGCCACCCATTCAATTCGCCTGTATGAAACCCACAATTGCTCACTAACGCAGATTAATTGTGCCGACGCTAAATATCGCTCCGACCATAGGTCGTATTGGGCAAAGTGAAGATGATGGAGTCGATGGACAACACAGGCGATACATTGAAAATTGAACTTGGATATCATAAGAACGATAGTGAGAATGTGCGAAGCACTGAATACTATACCGTAAAACCTTGAGGCACATCAAGGTGGGCAAACAAGTACTTAGTAACTCTCGGTCCCTGACGAACTGTGAATCTTGTACTACAACTGTGAAGACCCTGAGATATTCAGCCACCATTCGGGCACCGTGGAATTTTTGCGGGTGCTAGTACTAGAGTCTCGCTTCGAGTAGCCTTTTCACTCCGCTTCAGTCAGCCATTCTTGCTAACTACCCTGACGGGCTGAAAAGTTAGTGCAATGTAAAATACCAGTTCGTCCGCATACACGACCGGGCCAATGCTAATGCGGGCCGTACCCTGAATTTTTATTCGATTATATCATTTTCTCCAGGATTCGCAAAAATCACAAAGGATTCTGGGCCCAAAAATACGAGAAGTTGCTTTTTTTCCCCAATTGGTAACAGACTATTGAGCTTGTGGGGGCTGGATGCATTTGATCAGTATCATGTAGACAAGAAGCATCATCTTTTTTGTACCCAAAGGTTCACATCTATCCTCCACCTTATGAGTACTAAACCGTGGAATCACCTTTGAAGCTTTTCTTCTGTATTATCGCAGTCATGAGCGACGCCGAACCTGCTAAAGAATGGCCCAGCCGTGGGAACGAGCTTATAGCGACAGCAACAACTATGGCTGCACTCTCATCCATCGTCGCTATCTGGAGATTGGCGGTGAGATTCCGCATTCAACCATGGTTGGGGTGGAGTGACTGGCTGATGATAGGAGGCGTGGTAGGTTCATGCGGAGTTTCGAAAGAAACTCTTCTATGGTCTAGAATACTGACTCCGCATCTGTAGATGCTCAACTTCATCTCGTGTATCCCCTTTGCTATTCTCGCTGCAAATGGTGGTCAGGGCCGCTTAATGGCCGATCCTTGGTGGTTGATACCTGGAAAAACATCCAGACAGCTGCATGTCATCTTCATTTCGCAATGTCTAAACGTCTACGCCATGTTCCTGGTCAAGGCATCGATTTGCGCATACCTCATGGCCCTGGACTTCGGCCGCAGTTATCGGATCATTATTTGGTTCTCAGTAGCTATTGTCGTCTTGTGCAACTTCATCATGATGTTGATTTTGCACTTTGCATACTGTAGGCCGTACTGGTCAAGGTGGGACTTTACAGTCCAAGGAAAATGCTGGCCCGATGCAGTCAGCGAGATAACAGCATATCTGCAGATTGCATCAAACGTTGTTACGGATCTGGTAAGTCAATAGCTAACCTATGGAAACCTGCAAACCCGTGTGCCGTACTCACTCTGACCTTCAGATCTACGCTGCTGCGCCGATCGTTTACCTAAGACATGTGCAGCTGAGCAAGCGCACACAGTGGGGTGTACGCATCGTATTTCTCCTAGCTCTTGTGTAAGTCACCATACTCTTGTACCAAAGTAAACAATCAGTGACTAAGAGACCAGCGGCACTGCCTTGTCAATCGCCAAGATTCCAACCACGTACAAGTTCCTCCGTTCGAAAGAGCCGATGCGGGACGCCATTGACCTCAGTATTTGCAGCGTCAACGAGGTTTGCGTTGGCATCATCATTGCAAATCTTCCGCCTCTTCGCAAAATACTCAATGGTCTCTTGTCCAGGATTATACCTGCCAGTCTCACTGGTAACAGCGGTGGTGCATCTCGCAAGATGAATAGTCGCACGAATCATCTTAGTTCGAAAGGACACAACAAGTTACCGGATAACGGTGATGGTGACAGCGAGCGCTACATGTTGGAGCTTGAAGATCGGAAGCCTGCAGGCATTGTCAAGACGACTCGGGTGGATGTCGATGGCAGATCGCAAAAGGATGGGAGGTAAGAATATGGCAGATACATGATCGAATCTAGTTTGTTGGAATGACTGAACCATAGCATGATCGAATCTAGTTTGTCGAAATGACTGGATTCATAACATGATCGAAATTGGGCTACTTCATACGCAGTCAGCACAATGGCTACAAATTGACAAGACGCGTGAGATTGCGGTGTAACGCTGGTATTGTCTAGTGCATGTCTCCTAACCCCCAACGGATACTGAATGTAATACAAGCGCATTTTATCAACCTCCAACACCATAACGTCCCAATCTTCCCAAGTCCAACCACAATCACCAAAACGGCATGCCTCCCATGGGACTCACCACCCCCTCTCCGCCCTCACATCCTCCACTACTCCTACAGTCACAACCTTTACCCTCATCCCTTCCCCACACCCACTTCCACTCCGTGAATCGCGACGCCTCGGTAGGGGTAAATGGAATCTTCCCCCTGGTGACCCCAATCGGATCGACCTGGCCCCAAGTACTTACGACGCGGAAATCTTCGTCGCCGAGGTATTTCTTCTGTGGGGCATATGGCGTATCAGTGTAGATGATGGTGTTATGGTTTTGGTTCATGGAAGGGTAGACTTGTGATTTGGGGCTGCCTTGTTGTTTTTGTGTGTGGTGAGTGAGTTTCTGTTTCTTGGTGGGCTGGAGGATGGGCTGGAGGAGAGGTTTGCGTTTGGGGGGTTTGATGGGTATGGATGGGGTGGCTGAGGCGATGGATGGGGTGCGGGTGAGATGGGATCTAGGAGAGGGTTGGGGGTTCTGTTCAAACTGGAACCATGATGGGAGTCTAGAAGGTGTTGGGTTTGGTAGCATTGTGGATTCGTGGACGGGAGATGGTCTCATGGGCCTAGTGTTGCTGAACTTTTGTGAAGGAGCGTACGGGTGCTAATTTTTTGGGGCATGATCATTACGGTATATTGCTTGACAATTTTCATAATGTTCGACATAGTTATTCGATCCTTGTGAAGACAACGAGCCAAGGACAATGAGAAAACGTCCAGGGCATGAACAAAGGCGGGTGAAATCAAGTTTATGAATTTTCGCACAATGCAATTGTTGCATGAAGGAAGTCTCGCATAACGTCATTGTCCATTATCGTAATATGACTGGTGGTTGAAATTTACGAGCTTCTGTGAGCGTAGAGCACCCAACCGATCTAAAGGTACCATGGCAAAATCCAGGCTGCCAACACAGGAGCACTGCCGGGTCGTGAGGATCAATTTTGACCGAACAGCAGGATATTTTGCGCATTGCCAAGCCGCCAGATGGGCTATTCAGCTGGCATGTCACAGCTGGCATCGGTTCGTCAATCCAGTGAAGTCGTTGTTGGTGGGGTTGGTCAGCAAGAGCCACGCGGCTTAGCAAAATGATTTCTCGAGCAAAGGAAAAAGAAGGCAGGTTCGACGACGACGCGTCAGCGAGCATGAAGAGTCAAGGTGGACGACTAGAGACGTCACAAGCGAGCTTGTGCTACCAAGCAGCTGGGAGAGAGTCAAGATCATCAGGAGAAAGCAGGCGATCGTGTGCAGATGGGGTGCAATCGGTGGTCAGGTATGTATGCCTTGTACAGAACTAGGCTAGGTACGGTAGGTCGAACTGACTGCGGAGCGAACGTGAGAGCGGTGGTTTGCAGCAAGGAGGCTGTGCAGCGGCCCGCAGTGATGTATGAAACTGACGGGCGAGGTGGGGTGCGGTGCCACAGTTGGCTGTACGGTGTAATATATTGTGCGAGCTTCAGGGCCGACTTCCGAGTGTGACGACGTGTGCTGGGGGCCGAGTGGGCGTAGGTACCAACGTTACTATACCTACTGAACCCTGGTGTGATGGCGGTACCTATGTTGTGTGAGAAGTAACTGAGGAGGAAGAAGGATGTCGTACTAGTATGGTATGCCATGTAGGTACAGTAGGTAGGAAGAAGTTGGGGGTTGCAAGGCAGAAAGGCAGAACGGCGAAGAATAGCAATGGGAGCCTAAAGTGGGCTAGGGGATGGGAGGTGGCATCTAACCCGATACGGTTAGTGGGGCGGAGCGCGGAGGAGACATGGCCCGTCGCATCATCCACAGCCTCAACGCGCGTACGATGGATCGATGATGATTGCGGTAGTATGGTTGACTTTGCAGACACATACAAATAGAGTACTACCACCCACGAGCACTAGCCACATATTAGGCACCGTACTACACAAGAATTCTGACCCCAACCGACTTGCACTCTCTCCGACACACTCCCCGTCCATTCTCCTATCTGATACCACCAATCACCAATTCGTATCACGACGACGACGACATGAGGCAATCATGTTAGACGAAAATCTACCCAGTATGTCGGCTCTCCTTCTCCCTGCACCAGACCGCCACACATTCTACCAATGGTTTTGCTGTATCCTATACATGTAGCTGCCATTGGATTCACTGACTACCTACCTGCTTTACCTATCCAGTCCTCTCCCAGCCTACCACAGGTGACTTGCAATACAGCTAACCCGCCCAATAGCCTTCTTCCTCAAGCCCTCAGCCGACAAGCTCAAGCACCACGAGTCCTTTTACTTTACACAAAACGGCTCCGACCCAGAGGCCCAGTATGCCCTCCACCACGTCGATCCGGCCTCGAATGCCGCCAAAAACACGTACGCGGTAGCCCTCTTCGACTCGCATCACCCAGACATCCTCTACGGCGAGGTGCTTGCAAAGCCAGGCTGGTCACACCCCACACTGTCCCAAGACGAGATTCGCAGGAATGGCGGGCTACCACCCCCGCCCCAGCCCATCTACCCGACCGAATTCGCCATTCAACTCTACAACCCCGACCTGCAGGTCTTGGTCAAGCAGCAGACGTCCAAGTGGAGTAGCACCGTCAGCTGGGAATTCAGCATACCCCAAATCACCTTCCGCATGCCCAGCAATTCCGACCTCGACCGAGTCAAGACAGACCCAGCTGCAGATGTAAACACGCCCAGGATCAAGTTTGCTTGGAGGAAGGAGGGCAGGATGGGCAAAGACATGACCTGTTACATGACGGGCAAGTCGACAGACCCAACGGGCAAGAAGGCCAAAAAGAGCAAGGAGCCAGACATCACAGTCGCCCTCTTCTCTGGTCTGCGGGAGATGACCATCATGGAGCCCAACCTGTATCGCATTGAGATTGAAGACTACAAGGGACTCGAGGTCGCCCTGTTGCTTGGTGCAGCCGTCATTCGTGATCTCTTCTTCAGTGACCCGACCGAGCAGTTCCACATCAACAGCAGCAGCATGCGCAAGAACAGCACTGGTTTGCGCACCCGCAAGAGCTCGTCCCCACACGAAGGCCCCGGCATTACACCGCCCGTCATGACACCGCAGCCCCCTCCACCAACAGCTTACACTGGCCCTTCACAGTATCCACCGGAAAAGGCTCCCCTCCAGCCCACCAGTAATGCAGCTCTCAATGCTCAAGCACCCCCGCCCTTGTACAGCAGCAGAAATGCTGCCAAACGATCTTCGCTTCCACCTCTTGCGACTAACCAAGCTGGCGATAATCTGCCACCGTCACAAGCACCGATTCAGCCCCTGCGACCCATGAAATCTCAACCACAGCACCAACAAACCAAGCAAGGTCTCCAACTGGACCCTCGTGCGCAATGGGAAATTGATGCAGAGACTGCCCGCCTAAAAGCCGAGGTAGAAGCAGAAGCACATGAGCAGAAACGGAGAGAGGAGGCCAACCGCAAGACCCGACGAAAGCAAGAGCAAGAAGAAGAGCGCAAAACCAGGCAATTCCTCGAGCAAGAGCGCAGGCAAAAAGAGCAAGAAGAAAAGGAGCGACGGCGAAAACAAGCCGAAATCGACAAGGAGACGGAACGGCTGCGCAAACAGTTTGGCGATCAGAGTAACTTGCTCCGCCCCTCGCCGCAACCCCAACATCAACGTCGTTCTGAACCACTCATACCGAGCCGCTGGCAAGAGCCACAGCGGCAGCCGACTTTGCGCCCTGCACCTTTACCCGCACATCCACCGCGACATCAGAATACCCGCCCTGCGCCTGTACCCGCACAGCCGCCAAGGGTGCAATTCCAGCTTCCGTTCGCACAAGCTCCCTACCTGAAATCAAACGGACATCGTCCCGCTGCCAGCCAGAGTAGCTTCTTTAATAAAGACTCACTGAAACCTGTAGCCATGGCCAAGAAGAGTTTTTGGGGACTGCGCGCACAAAGCGAGACGAATGCAGAGAAACTGAAGAAGAAAAAGAGTAGCATGTTTTGATCTCATAGCATAGCAATGGCATTTTGTTAGGCGTTCAAGTTGAGGGCGGCGTCGGAGTAGGGCTTGCCTGGTCTCACTCGTCTGTATGAGGATGGGCCTTTCTGTAGAGTATTGCGACGGAATCCAGCCCCGTTGAGCAAAATAACTTGCTCACTGAGCACATTAGCCCATGGTCGCGTTCAGCTTCGCGTATAGCCCGCGCCACACTTCAGCCCTCTACCACTGTATATGATCTGTTGGATTGATTAGCCGGTAGAAAGTCCACCACCGCGGAGCTGGGCGACTGCAACTGGCTGCACGTGGGAGGTGCTTCGCTCGTGTGATGCTTTGGTTGAAGGAAGGTGATGTTTGGCGTGCAGATCGTGTCGTACAAACAACACACTGCTGTTCTCTGGCGAAGGGGGGCTTGAGGGAACTGCAGCCATGTTTCGCGGGCCAGAGCGGTGTCGGCCGACTAGAGCGTCGGAATTGTATAAAGACTTGGTTACGACTATGATTGGTATTTTCTCTGGCGAGCATCTGGCCCCTCATCTTCCTGTTACACAGAACTCATCCCCGCACAGTGCTTGAATCCGGCCAGGCCTAACCTTCACTCACCCCATATCAACAGCTGCAAAGAGAAATGACGTTGCCAACTTCCCTTCTCGCAATCCTCACCCTCGCCTTGGGCGTAAACGCACATTTCCGCCTCGTGCAACCCATCTGGCGCGGCTCTTCCTTCGAAGAACCAGCCAGCCAATGGATCTATCCATGTGCGTCCTCTTCCTCCCCTCGCTCTCAAACACCAAACACACCATGTTGACCGAGCCCAGGCGCAAACGTCAACGAGACAACTTCTGCTTCCAACCGCACCCTCTGGCCCACTACCGGCGGCTCTCTCATGATCAATGGCTCCCACACTCATGCACTAACTTCTGTGAATCTTGCCTTGGGCTCCAATGCAACGAACTTCAATATCACGCTGGTTGAAATGTTCAACCAGACAGGAGCAGGCATGTTCTGCTTGAAGGAAACCGGACGCGCAAACCTTGAAGAGGGATTCAAGGCTGCGGGCTACAGCGGGATGGAGGATGAGAGGATCGAGGGACTGATGGCGAGTGTGCAGGTCATTCAGTTGGGACATAGTGGGAGTGCTCTGTACAATGTAAGTCGTTCCCGTGACTATTACCGGCGTCACGAATGCCGGAACGTGTGCATGATGGTTCGTGAGTCCAATGGAAAAGAGGCCAACACAGTCTAGTGCGCAGACATCATGTTCAACTCGACCGCTCAGCTCCTCGCCGATGATCAATGCCAGAATTCCACGGGCGTAGGCGGTGTTGCGATACAAAACGCGGATGTCAATTCAACACCCGGCGGACCGACTTCATCGGGTTCAGCGGCACCAGCGGCAAGCAGTGCGGCTGCAAGTGTGTTCACCCCAGCTGTGGGAAGCGGACTGCTGGCAGCGATGTTGGCTTGCGGACTTCTCTAAGGCAGACCTACCTACCATGGGCCAAGCAACGTGGAACTGGAGCTCGCATGTCAAACGGCGGGGAGAGAGGATCCTCACATTGTAGAGGACGGAGGGTTTGGGAAGCTGCCAAACTGTTTAATACCGTTAGTGGAGTAGCGAACATGTGATCAAGGCAGGATGATGCGTAGGTAGTGCCAATCTTACTACGATATACGCTTGCTTCGTGTTTCTTGATTGCCTCGCTCATCGAGATGGCAGATAGCTACCGTACCGGTACCTATCGCACGGACAGCCGCGAACAACCATGTATCCAACTCCAGCGCCACCCCAATCACACTTGACATCCCCCGACCACTAATTGAGAATATCGGCAGACGCTCCGATGCTGTGTCTGACTGCTGCGGTCATTCATGTACGGTCGGATCATGGCAGTACCACTTGTTTAAACGTTCGGGGCCGGGCCCGTCTCGTCACCCAAGCCTCCCCTAATAACAACATTCGCAATGGCTGAACCAAAATGCACCATGGTTTGGCGCTGCTACCTCCTATATTGCTTGCATGGCATAGCTAAGTCCTCTTAGGCACCTAATAGAAAAGGAGTTAAAAGAAACCTTAATGCGCTGACTTGCTACTCTTAATAACACCTATGCTAAACCTTTTTAAATATACACTATAGAATTGCGATTTTAGCTATTAGCTATTACATTTCTGGCGGACGCCATTGAAGGCACCGCAGCTATACCAAGATGTGCAAAGAGTATATCCTGAGCGAAGAGTTACGGCATCTTATGTTGTGGTGCTGTTATGTAGGTCTATCGCTCTACAGAGCAGGATCGACAATCAAGGATGCTACCTAGCTGCAGGCCGTACGGAAAAAGAGGCAAGCAGTTAGCCGTATTTTATCACCGCTGATGATAGATCTTCTACTGTCACTATCCGCTAAATAGAGCCGCCCGGCTAGCGGCCAGATCCAAGCATGACTCGCTCGAGCTTAAATGCACACACAACGCCGCATTACTCTCTACGCACGCCTAGTAGTAGAGCATACGCTAGTAGATATGGAGGCTTATACGCAGCTTTGTAGCGAAGTAAGAGGCAGCTTAGAGTATTAAGTACAAATTTACAGAACCTTTTATCCTCATCTCGCAGACAGCTGTGAGCTTTTAATACCCATCTTTGCTAGTCCACGCAGCAGCTTCGACCCTTTGCCTTTGCCTGTGCCTACACTTGCGCGGTCATCTGCTACCATAGGAGAGATGACGAGCTGACCCTGCTCCTGCGATGCAAGTGCCTCGGTGTGATGCTGGTGACACACACGAGTGATTGGATGATCCTTCCCAAGGACAGCTTGGTACCCAGCGGATGCCCTATCGTATAAAGCAAGTGATTCGGTGTAACGATGCCGATGGGTAAGATAGGCAAGAGAGTATATGTTAGCCAGTGTGGCTAGATGCTCATGCCCGAGCAGCTTCTCCCTCCGCGCCAGCGTCTGTCTGTCCATCGCCTCCGCCTCTTTGTACTTGCCGCTAAGCTCCCTAGCTACTCCCACCATTTCCATGCTCCTCAATGTCTCCATATTATCTTCCCCAAACACTTCGCTCCTAGCCTCCATCGACATCACTGACATCTGCTCTGCCTCATCCGCTCCATCTTCTTGCCAGGCGTGCTCCGCCGCTCTGTACAGCAACAGCGCCCACTCTTTCAGTGATTCTCCCTCATTGGGCCGCTGTGCCAATGCCACCCGTGCATGTGGGAACAACGCTTGGCATTTCTCCCGGTCCTCGTGTTTTCCCGTCGGCAGCTCTGCGCAGAGGTTAGAGATGAATTGCTTCCTCCACTTGTCGAGCTGCTTCTCGTTGTCCAGCCACGTGCGCGTCGCTAGCTGCACCAGGCTGTGCATCTGAAACATGTTTGCATCTCTAGTCACCGTGATGAATGAATAGTCTCGTAAGGCAAGGACATCATCCTCGAAGCCGTCGTCGGTTCGAACAGCTGACTCGCGTTCGGCTGCCGTACCGCTTGGGTGGCGAAGCAGAGCTTCCTGGATCCCGTGGCGGTCGAAGAAGCTCATCAGCGATAGCAGGTCTGCTGCTGATCTCCGGCTGCCGCGCACGTGGTCGAACGAGATCTGCCACGTAAGAAGGATTGATTTGCTGGCTCCCTCGTCGCGCCAGAGGTGGCCGGCTGCTTGGTTCAGTAGGCTCGTCTTTCTGCTGTCGCTCTCACGGAACTCGGCCAGGTACTGCCGCACCGAGCATCGCGGCGCTCGCTCTCGAATGTATGCTGCCGCCTGCACGAGAGCGAGCGGCATGTGCTCCAGCGCAGTCGCTAGCTCGGCAATGCCGTTGCTCCTGTCCACCTTGTCTCCAAGCTTCTTGTGTAGAAGCGCGTGTGCGGCTGCATCGTTCATCGACTCGATAGTGATAATATCGTTTTCTTCCACGACCTGCAGCGCCGCGCGCCTGGTCCGGCTCATGGCCAGGATCGAGCCATGCCTGCTTGAGGGCAGATACCTCGATAGCCGCTGCTGGACAGCGCTGCCGCTGCCGCCGCCGCCGCCGCCGCCGCCGGTACCGTAGCCTGCTGGAGATAGCCTGCTGGAGAAGGAACAGCAGCATTGTCCGCGTTGTCAAGCATCAACAGCCACCGTCCGTTCGTCTCGTCCGGGCCTGAGATCCTCCTAGCTCACCCCACACCACCCAGGCCCACCAGTGCTATGCGCGATGCCGGGGCAGCGCACTTCTTGCGTATCCGGTCGAGCAGCGCTCCGTGGTTAACGAAGTCTGGGTTGCGTCGTGGGATTCCAGCAATGCAGGCAGCCAGGCAGGTAGCTAGGCGAGCAAGCCGCTTATAATAGTGCGGACCGGGCATACCTACCTCCACCCGACCCTCACGAACAGGGTCCGACTCGTGATTTTCCCACAGTTCGGCCTGCTCCTACTCACTGCCTAGCAATAATTCGTCATCTCTCACCTGAGCGCGTTCATCACCAAAACCTAAAACAAAGATAAGGTAATTTTAGGACACTAATCCAGCGCCGGAACCGCCGTCGACCAAGTAAAGCTATGCGTTGCATGTCACTCATAGGGGACTAATTCACATTTTCGAGGCGCAAGCACCCCTAGTAGACGCACAAACAGCGATTCATGACTAGGTACATGTGTGATGATCGCCGAGATGCAGGCCCACATTTAGTCGATCTTTGCGGGAAAGAAAAACATTTTAAAGGGTTTCCGTGACCCCTTGGCTCTTTTGATGACTGATGAGGAACATTGATATCAGAGTTAGTATTTGGGAGGGTGAATGGAGATACTTGAATGCTGCGGATTGCGCTGAAGAATGCATATTAGGACTGTTACACACTTGATGAAAACTAATACGAACAGGTAGATGGTAGCTAGGTAGGTAACTGAATAGAAGATTTGGCTTGATGGTATATTGAGTGCTGACAGAGCAGGTTAGGATGGAGGGCATTTGGTCAAGATGAAGGTTTTGTGTAAAAGCTACCTAGGTAGTTATAATAGTTTTCGAATACAAGCGAATGTGTTACAAATGAATGACCTTGGCGGGAAACTCTCTTAACGCCCCAACATACTGCTTCCAAACGCTACCACATGTTCCTCCTATTGGGGTGACCCTTAACATCCTGAGCAGAAGCTTTGAACTCCTGAATAAATAGGGATTGTCGTACAAGACGCCATCTAAGCGCAGATGCCGTTTCGGCAATTGCAGGACCTGCACTGGTCGTGGAAGCTACAGTCCGACCCAGGAATGGCGGTACCGCCACAGCTCTGGGGGTTGGGATTGGGAGATGCGAGAGCCGTGAGGGCGACTGGTGGTTTGGCTGGTGGTTAGCTAATTGCGTAGTAGAGAGGCAGGTATTAGGTATATTATATCAACAGAACTTACAGGCAAGGGCGGCAACGATAGTGAAGAATTTAGCCATATTGATAAAATTTCTCGTTGTTCTTGGTGAGCTGAGTCGATTGGAACGAATTGTTGTTCGGTGTGAGAGTGAAGCTACTGATGCTGGTGGATTTCAAGATAGTCATGAATCGTCTACAGAGGCATATTATATAGACTTAGAGACACCCATGTTTGCAGGGGCCCATACAACCTTGGATACTTGAACCTAGCTACGACTGTAGAGGCAAGTGGAGAGTGCAGTTCAGTGAGCGTATTATGACTAGGGTATTGTCAAGGGGACTAATACCAATGAACAGACCTGCTGATGCCGTAACAGAATGCTTACTACAGGAGAGACAGAATGTATGTGTAAGCCTGAGTAATACTTTTAACGTACCTGGTGAATGCTGACTTGCAGCAGTACTATGTATAATTTGCGGGGTATTGACCTTTATAGGTCCCCTCTTTTCATTACCTAACAACCTGTTTACTAGAGGGTGTAGAAGTACTAAATGTATGGAGGATATATACAATCGTCGAATCTTCTCTAGTTAACTTACAGCAACTACCAACTGGTTTGAGTCTTGTGCTCTCATATTGTTAGCTTCGTCGCTAGTTCCGTCACCTCCCTGATGGTCGAGTGCCAACCTCATGGAAAAACCAAGACCTGATAGCCGTTTGCCAATTCCCCAAACCCCTGGAGGCATGGGGTCCTGGGATGAGGAACCAGCTCATTGCCTCGGTCCTGTGGGGTTATCTTACCTAAGAAGTAAGCTTAGCAGTGTCTCATCGGCAGAATGAGGGCTATACCCCACAACGAAGCTAATCTTTTTACGTCACTATGATATTCTAAATACTGTATGGTAGATGTGATATGATGACATGATACATTGATCGTCAATTGATATGTCTCGTGATGAATCCTCAGGATTTCCACGAGTCGTAAGCAGGATACGTTGCAGGGCTCGGCGGTACGGGATCGAACTCACCTCCGGCTGCAACTATCATGTGAATATTTAGTGAATGCTAAGTGCCAATGTCGGCTAATAATAGTCTCCAAGGATGCGAATCAGCGAAATTCGATAGTTGCCATGTTAATGCCTAATTTGATACATTCTACAAACCCTTATTCTTACAATTCGTTTGCCTAGTACTTCGAATCTCAATTCATCTGAAGACAGAAGATACTTGTCTTATATCTTTGCATAGTAGTTATATCCTAGTTATACCTGTGAGTGGCCGAAGAAAGAGGGCTACGGTTCAGCTTTGACACGTTCACTGGCCAAGACTTGTTGAACTACGCTGTCCTAATGTTTTTGCCTTTTTCTAGGCTAGGTTGGAGGACAATTTCTAGTCATATTAGCGGAGAGAAGTCTGCTGGCTGTTTTGGTAACTAGGATCACGGTACCTACTTTTGGCTAGTTCGCAGGTGCGAACGGCAATCGCTTCCAAGGTTTAGATAACGCCTAGGGGTCTATCTTGGCGTTATCCAAAACCATCGTCTTCGTACAGTTCCTATTGTTCCTAACGACGATTACCTGCCCTTACATAGGGAATAATTACAGTCGTAATGTTAAAACGTCGCCTCTAAGAATTTAGCGAGGGTAAAACCTTGTTGTGGAAAATTTGGAGCACTAAGGTTAGGAATGATTTAGGAGATGGATTATTAGATTGTCTCTACTACAATTAGACTTATATATATAGAGCTTTAGCTACCCTTACTAGAAGGTGTATAATTAGTAAACCTTCCTTACTAGAGCTCCTACTTTTTATTAGGTACTTAGTAGTAAGCTCGCAGTTAATTAAATAATAGGTTATAGAGGGGTATTAAGTAGGATTAATTAGGATTAATTAGATTAAGATACTCTATAATCTAGTTATTATCCCTCCTATAATATACCCCCTAGGTGTAGGTAGATCTTTTAGTATAGTTACTGTTGCAGGAAGGATATTAACCGGATCACGGAGCATCTTGATCCGATTAATCCCGATCAATGCCCCTACATAACCCACTATCTAATTAACTGCTAGCTCACTGCTAAGTGCCTAATAAAAGCAGGAGCTCTAGTAAGGAAGGTTTACTAATTATTTACCTTCTAGTAAGGGTAGCTAAAGCTCTATATATATAAGTCTAATTATAGTAGATATAATCTAATAATCTATCTCCTAAATTATTCCTAACCTTAGTAATCTAGATTTCTATAGTTATAAGCCTAGTTCGCGCTTTACCTTATTAAAGATCGTCCTATCTATTTTAAGCGTATTATTTAACTTAGACACTAAGCTAGCAAGCTTTACTCTTTATACTATTTCTTAAGCAGAAGCTTACTTACTACTCTTCTACTATAAGCGACTAAATCCTAAAGGGGGATATCCTACTTACTAGATTAACTAACTAGCCTACCTAGTACATTTAATTCAGATACTATGCCCTAACTAAAGGGATCTAGGTAGAGGTAGACCCTAATACTTAGGATACTAAAAACCACTTTAAGAATAAACCTATTAAGCCTAATATACTAATAAATATCGCGCTATCTAACATAACAAGCAAGCAGTACAAACTCTAAATAGCTTAGTACTAAGCCTGCTTATTAGATTAGGTATTAAAGTTATTAGCAATCTAGAACCTCTTTATATAGGTTAATAATATAGTAGATTAAGGGATCCTTACCCTAGCCTATATAGAGCTTGTTAATTAAGGAAGAGTAACCCTCTAAGCACTAATCTAAGTGCTCTGTAATAACCTAGCGCTAACTAACTTAAGCGCTATAACACTAGCAAGATTATAGTATAAAGCTTATCTTACTAAGGTAAAGATAAGTAGCTAAGACACTAATTACTAGTAGAAGGAGTAGACAATCCTATATACGCAAGCTAAAGTATACAACGTTCCTAATATTAAAGGATAGCTTATAGTATAGGATTATCTTAAAGCTCTATCTACTAGGATCTTACTAGATTAGGGTTAAACTATATTTTAAAGGATTATTAAAAAGTTAGTAATAGGAGAGCTAACTTATAACCTCCTACAGGTTACTAAGATCTATTTATTACTTCTCTAAGAAAATAATATAAGATTAAGCTTTAAGAGTCCTAGAGTGTTTGCAATAATAGGAGCTCCTCCTTCTACTTAACCTAAGAAGGAGTCTTTATACCTATATAGTAGATCTTACCTATAGAAACCTCCTAAATGCAAAAATATAATTAAAGCTTAGACTAATATAGGTAATAAGCTTACTACTACTTAATAATTAGAGATTAAGAAAAAGATTAATAGAAATCAAAAATTCAAAGAATTAAGAAAAGCCCTAATTAAGTCCTATCCTATTAATTAAGATTATAGTAGTAAGGCAAGCATAATCACCTATCTAGGCAGTATCTAGGCGGCACTAATTAACCCCATGTTAATAGCAGAGAAAACAAACAGGATCTATTTAACTATAGACTTTAAAGCTTACGCTCTATTAAAGAGCACTATCTTTAATAATAGGGGTATGGTGCACCTAGTTAATAATATAAGCTACCTAGAAGAAAGCTTGTTTAGATTAGTTAAATATAAGATAGTTAAAGTAGGAACTTAAGCTTTTCTAATCTTAGGCAGAGGGACTAGAGTAATCCCTAATACTCTTAATAGACTAAGAGGTCTAAAAACAGAAGATTTAGTGCTTACTAACATAGTATTAGTAGAAGGATTTTATATAAATATTATATTAGAAGCTTAATTACTTAAAGCAGGAGTTTAGTTCCTTAGGCTAGATACTACCTTATAGTTTAGATTATTAGAAAAGAGCGTTATATTAGCTAAGTTACTGCGCAAGTTTAACTTAACTTTCCTAGAATATAAGCCCTCTACCCCTTATTAAATAATCTAAAGCATAGTGCCTAAATAACCCTAGTGATCCTAGATAACTTACCTAAGACACAATAGTAAGGAGCTTTAGCACTAATAATTAGGCTATTTAGGACCTAAGGCGCTTAAAGCTCTAGTTAAGTTAGCTATAAATATTAGGATTAAAGGAACTCCTAGGAGCAAATGCGAGCACTATGCTATTACACATGCCTAACAGGTTATATTAAGATAACTAAGGGAAAGATTACCACGTCTATACTACTAGGTATTATAGGATCTATTTAACATACTAACAGGTATAGCTTACAAGTAATAGATCTTAGTATTAAAGTGCGACTACTTAGGAAAGCTTTATACCTATCTACTATAAGCTAAAAACCTTAATAAGATTATATAGGTATTTAAAAATTTTAAAAGCTTAATACTTAACTAATATAAGCTTAGCATAGTTAAGATTATACAAGATAATAACGTTGCAACACTCCCTTAGCGTGTTAAATCTTGCTTTTAGATCTAGGCAGCTAATAATAGTATTAAAATTAAGAGCTTACCTATATATACCTATAAACCTAATAGAGGAGCAGAAAGAGTAGGGTAGGAGATTATAATAAAATTAATTAAAATAAGGATTAGTGCTAACCTACTAATAAAGCTCTAGCCTAAAATTATTAAAGCAGCGACTTAGCTCTATAATATAAGCCTATCCTATGCTTATAATATAATATTACCTAATAAAGTGCTAGATTATTAGTTTACTAGATACTTTAGGTAGTAGCAACTAGAGTAGATAAAGGAGGTAACTACTAATCTCTGCCCTGATTAGAGCGGAATATACGCCTATGGCTATTAAGCTTACCCCCTTAACTAAGAATAAGCAGCTAGGCGTTACAAGAGGGTTTTTAAGGTAAGCCCTTAGGGTTATATTAGATATCTAGTAGGATATAGAGCATCTAATATATATAGGATATAGATCCCCTTACTTAATTAGATTATTATAACGCAGAATATTACCTTTAATAAGGATCTTTTCTATAAAGAGAAAGATCTAGAGTAGCTTTAATAGTTAGAGGCTTAAAAGATAGTTAATATTATTAGCAAAGATAAGATCTATAATATAGGAGAAGTATATAAAGAGCTTAATATCTTTAATTAGCTTTATATTATAGTAGAGTAATATAAGGAGTCTAGTAAGCAAGGAGGACTAAACCTAGCGCAGGAGCTAGGGGGTAGGGTAGAGCTAGAGGAGGTAGATAATTAGGCTAGCTAGCCTAGTAATTCATAACCCCCTAAGCAGACACCTCTAGCGTAGGTACTAAGCACAGCTAGCTTAGTATAAAGGATCTATACAAAGTCCCCTAAGCTAATAGGGCTCTAAACTCCTAAACTAATACTAGAACTAAACTTTAGTATAGGAGATAAAGGATCTATATAGGTTATAAATTAGGGTTATACTACCTAAGATAGTAGTAATCTAACTTACTTTAACGCCATAATAGGTAGCTCCTAGGAAAGACCTAGAGGGGAGAGTGCTATTAGTAGGTTACTCTATAAGAGCACGGAGATAGGTAAGGGCACCCTATCTAGCCCTTATAGGGGTGGTAAGCAGAGCTCCTACCTACCTGCTTTAGGACTAGATTCTATATCTCCTGCAGATCCCTTACAAGCGGCACCTAGAGCTCCTAGAAGAAGTAGAAAACCACAAGTTAAAGGACTGCTACTAACGCGTGTTAGTAAGCAAGCTTAGGGATAGGACCCTAATAAACTACTAGGAGGATCTATAAGTGTAGGGATATATATAGTAATAGATCTATTAGATATAGATCTAATTAGAAATCCCTTGTATAATCTTTTAGT